CCGGTGAACCAGAGGAAGCATGGATGCTGTGCCCTCCCCCTGTCCGGTCCTCATCTCGTGCAGCATGGCCAGGGCCTGAAGGGAAGGTAGAAGCGAGGGGGCTCACGGGACGGGAGCGCCTGTGCTCTGCTCCCATTGACGCCCTCATCCATTTTTAATCCTGCCCCCACACTGCCAGCTACCTCCCTCTCCTGCTCCTCGTCCTCGTCGTTCCAAGCCTCCTCCTTCCCTATCCTCCTCAGCCACCTCTTCGCCTCCCTCCTCCTGCTATTCTTCTGATGGGGAGGAAGAGAAAGAGAAGAAAGGAGAAAGACGGAAAGAGCTGGCAATGAGGGGAATGAGGAGAAGGACCTACTCATCCTCCTTCCTCTAATAGCCAGCTCCTTCCCGTCCTCCATCTTCGACTGCTCCTCTGTCACCTGCTTCGGCTGCCGAAGAGGAAGAGAGTTCACTTGGAGGGCGGTGAGTTCGTCCATCCCATTTGACGGTGTGCTCGTGCCCGCTGAAGGGTTGGATAATTACGTAGCTCGTGCGGGTTCTCCAGCAGCAACAAGCTTCGAAAGCCCTTGACCAAACAATTTTCTCAGCCTCTGAGAGTAACCCGTCGGATGTATCTTGAGAGGTTTTGGTCGGAGCACTGGTCCAAGCGTCAAGGATCGAACCGAGCTGAGTCATCATTATTAGTTTTGGTTTCGGATTCGCATCGCGAACGGGTTCAGTCATTCATTCACTCTTCTCCTCCCCCTCCCCCATGCCCCGTTCTCATCCTCGTCCCTCCTCCTTCCCTTCCTCCTCCTCCTCCTCCTCCTCCTCCTCCTGGTCATCCTCATCCTCCTCCTCCGCCTCCTCCCCCGTAGCCATTTTGGCTCAAGCCATTCTGGCTCACGGATTCGGGCCGCTCTCGAGCACCATTTCGGCCCATCGCTTGTTTCAGCCCGACCCCAGGCGCCAGGTGTCGGAAGGGCGGGGGCTGGTGCATCCATTTCGCCGCTGTTGCCCGCAGCCATGCATGACCTCAGCCTGGCGCCGCCGGCAGCGGGAGCGCCGCGCGACGGTGAGACGCGCTCATCCGCAGCCTGCTGCGGCCACCCCCCGAATGCCCCCGTACCGCAGGCACACACGGTGGCCCGCCTGCCGGCAGCGGCTGGCGCACTGCTGGCAGGCCAGAGCATCGAGTCCCGATTCGTGCCGATTCTGGTGTGGTCCGTGGGCATGCCGCTGCGAGAGGTGTAAGGCGATGCCAGGACGAGGAAACACCGTGTGAGGATGAGTCGAGAATCTCTGAGATGCGGCGCCTCTGGAAGATCTCTCGAGCGCTGCGGCCTTCTCAGAGCGTTCCGGAACGCTCCGAGAGCGTTCCGGGACGCTCTGGAAGGGAGTGATCCTCGTCCTAGCTCCGCCCGAGACATGCCGTTGCGGGAGGTGTCCTTGACGGTGGAGTACTCAATCCGCTGTGCGGGCTGTCTGGCGCACGCCTCTTCGCAACCAGGCCGCCCCGTGTCGGGGCATGGACTCCCTTGGGGCTGCTCGGGTCGTAGTGCTGTCCCTCCTGGGGCTGCTCGTCGGGCCGCTGAGGTTCACGAAGCGGCTGACGATTGTGGAGCCGCTGCAGCTGATGAGGGGGACTCTCGTGCCGACCAACGTGGGGATCGCGAAGCCGTTAACGGAGGTAGCGTTTAGGCTGTAGCCGATCCTCGTGGATCCGATGCCGTCCTCGTTTGTGCCTATCTTCGTGAGCGACATGGTGCCGCCCACCTTGGCGAAGCCTTCCAAGGGGCCGTGGGCGTTCATGGTTCGGCTGTCGTTCATGAAGATTGCGGTTGCCCTGAAGCCAATGGCGTTCCTAATCCTGGGGTCGTTGGCCTTCCTGGTGTTGCTCTCGTCTGTCGAATTGCCGCAGCTGCTGGGGGTGATCGTCTCGCCGACCGTCACCGAGATGGACTTGGCACTGGGTCCTGGTGCTGCTGGCGTTCGTGGAGCCGCCGCGGCAACTGCTGGGCATCCTCGAGCCGTCCGTCGTGGAGACGCCGTGGATGCTGGAGCCGATCCTCGTGGAGCCGCTGCCGCCCTCGCTCATATCGACCGTCGTGGTGGGTATGATGCCGACCACCTTGGTGCAGCCGTGCGAGGCGCCCTAGGCGTCGTGTACGACGATGTCGGTTGCTGGGAACTTGGCTTTCCTGCGGCCGCTCACTTTTCGTCGGGCCGCTGCAGCTGCTGAGGGTGATCTTCGGGCCGATGCGCTCCGTGCTGGAGTCGATCTTCGCGGGGCCCCTGCCTGCGTGGTCGATTCCGAGGACGTGAAGGTCGCAGAGGTCGCAGGAGTCCAAGCTGGGCACCTCCGACGTCGACGCCGCTGCCCATGGCCAGTTCCCTGCGGGCGGGGCACTTGCGAGGATCGTTGTCATTTCCCTGGTGGCAGCCCTCGCCTTGCTCGCGGTGCTGTCGACGGTCCTCCTGGTGACGAATGTCAACGACTTCGCCATGCCAAGAGTCCCCTTCCCGACGGCTTCGCGGAAAATCTCGCCCGCCTTAAAAAGAACCACCACTGCTAGATGCTGTGATCGCCGTCCTCCCGGCAATATGTTCCAGGAGTGCCGATGCTTATGTTCTGAGTTGCGTTGGCTATTCGAAGCGTTCCAGCAACGACTCGCTCATTGTACTCAACGGTGATCGGGAAGCGCTGGAAGACGGTTCCTTGCCATGTGCCACCCGTGAGCGACGTGGCTTCTGCTTGCGTCACGACGCGGAACTCGGAAACCGACTCGGAGGTGTAGTTTCCGTCTTGCACGCCACCATTGCGCAATAATCCGTATGAAGAGATCTGGAATCGTTATCATTGATACGACTGCGGCATTTCGCGTTTGAAGTTCCTCGTCTTCATCATCGTACAACCTCGCTGCACCGAATCATGCCCCGTGCCGGAATCGAGGTAACCATGTGTACTGTCAATACTCGCTTGACCGCACGCCTCGCCGTCAATGTATTATGATCGTACCGTGTGGTCGCTTTGCTTCGCCGCTCTCAAAAAAACTATCTCGTGGGCCGATTGCGGGTCTCGCGTGCTTCAACTATCACGGTTGGTCATCTCACCTCGCCACCAGCCGTGCGGTCTGGCTCACTCTCTCTCTCTGCGTTCTCTCTCACTGTCTCTCTCTCTCTCTCGAATTTTCCAAACTCGTCCTTTTCCAAACGCTGGTGCATGCCGATGTTCCCTTTTCGGCTCGCTCGGACGTGGTATGCTCCCTACTCCTCTTCCTCTTCCTCATCCTCCTCCTCCTCGTCCTGCTCCTCCCCCTCATCCAGCCACTACTCAAACTTCATCTGTCTGCCCTCCTCCCCTCCTCTTCCTCCTCCTGCTGCCGCCCTCGCTGATAGGAAGGTTCCGAAGCGTCCATGTGCATTCAAGACAAAGAAGGCGGTGGCGAAAACTAGCGCAACACAGTCCTCAGCCCTACGGTCCCCTACGCCAGTCCACAGTAGGGATGCGCTGCGTCGTCAAGGCTGCCACTGCGTCCCTGCTTCTTCAACCCCTCCTGAGCCAACGCTGCCGTTCAGTGAGCTCCAGATGGTGAATGGGACTTCCAAGGATGCTGCAGCCTCGCCCTGCACCCCTCCTGTGGATGTTGACTGTGTGGAGTACGATTCGGATGCGCGCCCGGGGGGGGGAGTGAAAAGGGGCGGGCCTTCTCAGAAGACTCGGAAGTATAATAATACTGATAATAATGATAAGAATGAAGTTTTCGAAGCCTTCCCCGAAGACACCGGAAGCCTCTCAAAGGCGCGAGGGCTTCTTGAGAAGTCCCTGCCGCCCTCTGAGAGGGCCTGTGGGACGCGGGGCCTTGCTTACTTCGACCTCCAGAACTTGCAGACAGCCGCGCTCCCAGATGGTGCCCCAAGACTGCCCCAGAACAGACACTGATCGTGGTCAACGAACAACGCACACTCAAACCATATGGAGGAGTCATGGGGAAGGGGAATGCGATGAACGCGCTATAGGTATGGGTGCGAGTTGTCGGACGCCGAAGGAGGTTCCCGTTCGAGCGGGGACCCCCTATCCGACAACACGCACCCATAGCCCCCCCCCCAGCATCCCACCCCAGGATTTTTAAGGGACGTATAGGTATGGGTGTTGGCTGTCAGCTCGTGAGATCGAGGGTGGTCTTGGTCGCGCTCCAGACAGAGAGGCAACCCACTGGAGCTCCCGAAGGAGCCAAACCGGCACAGCCTCCAACGAGAACGGGCAGGGCGATCCATCACAGCAGGAGCACGGGTGATCTGGGCGGCGAGCAGGACACGCACCGTCGTGCGCAGGAGGGCGATGCCGAGCTCAGTTTGCCTGCGTAGGACCGTCGCTGCGGCCCTTGCGGCCCCACGAGGCCTTCATGGCCCTCACGGGTCGAGGGCCTTTCTCAAGGGACCCGACAGCGGGCAGCTGACGACGTGCCGCAGGAGGGGGGGGGGGGCTTGAAGCCCACAGTCACACCTTGGGCCACGAAGCCCACTCGATGGCGCAAGGTGCCCTCGCGGGCGAGGTCGCCTCCCGTCACGTTCGTGGCGACGTCGTGGGACAGCACCAAGACAGGCCGCTCTCGGCACTCGCACCTGTTGAGGCCTTCGAGCCATGTCAGGCAGAAAAGACGGGGAAGCCCGTCCCTACACGGGCTGATGAGGTCCTCCTCCTCCTCCTCCTCCTCTTCCTCCTCATCATCCGCCTGCTTCTCTTCATGCTCCTCCTCCTCCCCCAGGCCCGAAGAACACGCATTCCGAATATTCAAGAATGGCATGTGTTCCTTACCATGCAATGCACGTACATAGCATACCCACAACATATCCATGAGGAACGCTCATAACCAACATACACACAACGGACACACCTACACACAACAACCATGGGTAACGAAGCGAGCACCGTCAATCCAGACATTGCCTAGACAAAAAACGTGGATAAAATCCGCCACAGTGCCCACCACGTCGAGGCTTGCTAGACTGCCAAATGCTGTGTGGTAGGGCCTTAAACTCACGTCATCCGGACCCCTGGCGCGCGAGGAAACGGCCCCCGACCCCTTGTTCCGTTTCCGGCGAGATCTGGGAAATCTGGCGAATCCGGCGACGAATTCCAAACCACGCCCTCGCGTGGGGTATCCTGACAAAAATCGCTCCCCATGAGCCTCCCGAAGGAGGTCCTCAAAGGCCCTGTTTTGTTTCCTGCGAGATCCAAAAAATCTGGCGAATCCGGCGACGAGTTCCAATCCGGCGCCCTCGCGTGGGACATCCTCAGAAAAACTGGCCCCTGGAGCCTCCCCAAGGAGGCCCTCAGAGGCCCCCCTGTTCCGTTTCCGGGGAGATCCGGCGAATCCGGCGACGAATTCCAAACCGGCGCCTTTGCGTGGGACATCCTCAGGCAAACCGCCCCCCAGAGCCTTTCCCTCGGGACCCTCACTCTCCTGATCCTCCCCCTCGCGAGTCTCGCTCTCCTGATCCTCACGCTCATTCTCATCTCGATAATTTTACTCTCGCCGAGAAGCGCACGCCCGTCTTCTATATACAGAAACTCCCGATCAACCGCAGAGCGGCTGGCTAGTATTCTGAGGGGCCCCCCTCTCATCAAACAGTTCTGCGTGCATCGCCATCCCTTCCAACCACCCTGGCGCTCCCCAAGGCTTGTGCCCAAGATGTCTTCCCAGACGGCCAAGGCAGGCTGCTAAGATGGCCCAAGATGCCTCCACGACGGCCCAATATTGCCCCAAGACAACCCAACATGGCCTAAAGACAACCTCAGAGGCCCCAAATGCGGCCCAAGAGGAAAACACACAGAGAGGTACTCAACAGCCTCGAATGATTAGCGTTCCTGGAAACATTTCGAATGACACTCGCGTTCTGTTTCTCAGCTTTCCGTCAGCTCAAGACGGCGCAGGATGCCTCCAAGATGGCCTCAAGACGACCCAATAGGCTCCCATGAAAGCGTCAAAACAACCGAAGGGGCCGTCAAGATGGCCCAAGAGGCCTCCAAGACGGCCCAAGGAGGGCCCAAGATGGCCCAAGGAGCGCTCAAGAGCCCCCGAGAGGCCACCAAGACACCCTCAAGCGGCCTCCAACAGCCCTCCAAAATACACTAAGAGAGGAGGGAAGAAGAGAGGAGCAAAAACGGAAAAACACGAAGATAGACACCCCGACACGGCGCGGAAAACCGTGGCACATGATTCGACTCTCCCAAACCTCGTCACGGCTTTCTGCCCGCCCGCGCAACAAGCGCAACCTGGCACGGCGGCGGGATTGCCGCAGGCAGCTGCATAGTTAACCTGCGTCGAAGCTTTGCATAACTAGCGGGCAGAGAGGCCAGACAGACGCAATAAGCAAAAAGACACGACACATAATACACCTCGGTTCTTCTTTAATCGTCCCAACGCGTTTTTTGTGTACCGCTGTTAAGACGGCGTTGGAACATCTGTTTTTAACTCTAGGTCCAAACAAGGTAACGAAGAACGCTAAACAATTTATCCCCGTGCGACCATACCTAGGAGCTGGAGCCCCTAGGAAAACATCATTAGTAGTAAGAGTAAATATAAGCTAAAGCTAGGGTAAAACTAAGATAAAGCTGAGCTAACGCTAAGCTAAGCTAACATTAACATAAAGCTAAGCTGAAGCTAAGCTAAAGCTAAGCTAAAGCTAAGATGAAGCTAAGCTAAAGCTAAGCTAAAGCTAAGCTAAGGCTAAGCTAAAGCTAGGCTAGATATAAGCTAGAGCTAAGCTAACGCTAAGCTAAAGCTAAGCTAAATCTAAGCTACAGCTAAGCTGAAGCTAAGCTGAAGCTAAGCTACAGCTAAGCTAAAGCTAAAGCTAAACAGAAGCTAAGCTAAAGGGAAGCTACATCTAGTATAAAGCTAAGCTACAGCTAAGCTAAAGCTAAGCTACAGCTACGCTAAAGTTAAGCTACAGCTAAGCTAAAGCTAAGCTAAAACTAAGATAAAGCTAACGCTAAGCTAACTCTAAGCTAATGCTAAGCTAAAGCTAAGCTCAAGCGAAGCTCAAGCTAAGCTAGAGCTAAGCTAATGCTAAGCTAACGCTAAGCTGAAGCTAAGCTCAAGCTAAGCTCAAGCTAAGCTCAAGCCAAGCTCAAGCCAAGCTCAAGCTAAGCTCAAGCTAAGCTAAAGTTAAGCTAAAGCTAAGCTACAGCTAAGCTACAGCTAAGCTAAAGCTAAGCTAAAGCTAAGCTAAAGCTAAGCTAAAGCTAAGCTAAAGCTAGAGCTAAAGCTAAAGCTCCCAGGGGACTGGGGGAACCGCGGGGCGGATCCTGGGGGAACCGCCCGGGGCGCATTACACTGCCCGGCCCCTTTAAGCCAAGAAAGTAAGAACCCTTCTAGGCAGAGCCTAGGTAGGGAACTATTCATTGTTCTGCGCTTCCAGCTGCGCTTTTTGTTGCGTGTTCAGATCAGATCGTTGCATTGTTAATTATCCCAGTGCGACCCTACCAGGGAGTTGGAGCCCCTAGGAAAGCAGCATTAGTAGTAACACTGAAGCTAAGCTAAAGCTAAGGTAAAGCTGCGCTACAGATAAGCTAAGGCTAAGCTAAAGCGAAGCTGAACCTAAGCTAAAGCTAAGCTAAAGCTAAGCTAAAGCTAAGTTAAAGCCAAGGTAAACCTAAGCTAAAGCTAAGCTCAAGCTGAGCTAAATTTAAGCTAAAGCTAAGCTAACGCTAAGCTAAAGCTAGGCTAAGTCTAAGCTGAAGCTAAGCTGAATCTAAGCTAAAGCTAAGCTACAGATAAGCTAAAGCTGAGCTAAAACTAAGATAAAGCTAACGCTAAGCTAACTCTAAGCTAATGCTAAGCTAAAGCTAAGCTCAAGCGAAGCTCAAGCTAAGCTAGAGCTAAGCTAACGCTAAGCTAACGCTAAGCTGAAGCTAAGCTCAAGCTAAGCTCAAGCTAAGCTCAAGCCAAGCTCAAGCTAAGCTCAAGCTAAGCTGAAGCGAAGCTCAAGCTAAGCTAAAGCTAAGCGAACGCTAAGGTAAAGCTAAGCTCAAGCTAAGCTAAAGCTAAGCTAAATGTGAGGTAAAGCTCAGCTGAACCTAAGGTACAGCTAAGCTAAAGCTAAGCTAAAGCTAAGCTAAAGCTAAGCTAAAGCTAAGCTAAAACTAAGCGAAAGCTAAGCTACAGCTAAGCTACAGCTAAGCTAAAGCTAAGCTAAAGCTAAGCTAAAGCTAAGCCAAAGCTTAAGCTAAAGCTTAAGCTAAAGCTAAAGCTCCCAGGGGACTGGGGGAACCGCGGGGCGGATCCTGGGGGAACCGCTTGGGGCGCATTACACTGCCCGGCCCCTTTAAGCCAAAAGAGTAAGAACCCTTCTAGGCAGAACCTAGGTAAGGAACATTGCCATCTACAACACCCGCAGTTTCTTCTACCGGCGTGCAGTCTGGCGGGCCCGATGGCCGATGGCCCCTCCTGGGGCCATCGGGACTCGGGGCCTGTCTCGGGCCGGTGATAGATCGGCATTTAACTTTTTTGCCCTGGGAGGGGAAACCGCGACGGAAACGAGCGGGAGCGAAGACAACAGGGAAGACAAGGAACAGCCTTCGACCAGAAGGCAAAAAACGCTAAAACAAAAATGATCCACAGCGACGGGCCTCAAAAGGCTAAAAAAACGAAGCTCAAATCACTGAACTGCCACCGCGCTGATTCTTTGCGCTGTTTAGCGTGTCAAGGGCGCAAAGCACAAACAGGGGGGACAACAAAAAGACGGCCAGGGATTCTTCGACAAAGAAATAATACGCACCCACACGCACACACCCAACATCGAAAATAAGAGGCTCACAGTACAGAGCTTGAAACAGATTCGCAGCTATTCCCTGTGGAGGATCGCCCGGAGCGAGAGCATGCGTGCTATCTTTTGTTGTTCTTTTCCTGTCCCTCTGGCCCTCCATACCGTGCTGCCCACTACGGGGGGCCCACACGCCCCACGAGAAGCAACGCCCGCAGGGGGGCATCCATCGGCCTCCTGGCCACTCTCGGTTGCCCCAGGACTCTCGCGTAAGGACGCCGCTGCGCGGCCAGGAGGACCCGCGATGCCTCGAAGATGGCCTCGACGGGCCCTGGAATGGCACGGCCAGGACGGCCGAAGATGGCCCCAACGTGCCTCTAAGATTAAGTCGGGCCTGTCCCTCTACGGGAGGAATGTTCAAAATAAATCAGAAATAGTCCGGGGAGTATGTTCTGAATATTTTTGAATTTGTTTGGAGTACTGTTTGGGTATTCTTTCTTTGTTGTCGAAGATCCGCCTGTAGGGGGGCAGGCCCGACTCAACTCTAAGATGGCCCAGGAACTTCTCAAGCCCTCCCCGCCTGGCTAACAAAAAATCATCGGAAGACCACTGCGTGTGAGCTTACTTGGGCTTGCCTGCCCCATGTATTGCTCCAAAGGTGCCCCAAGATCGCTTTGAGACGACCGCGAGTCCCCGAGATTGCCCAAGACGGCCTCCAGGTGGCCCCGAAAGCCCACAAGATGTCGCACAAATCGCCCAGGATGGCCCGACAGACCGCCAAGATGACCCCAACATGCCTTCAAGATGGGCCCCAGAAGTATCAGCGTACCCCAGGGTTGCCTCAGATGGCCTGAAGGAGACCTGGAGACCCGAAGATGCCTGCGCTCCGCCATCGCGTATCCCTCCTTGCCCTTCTCCCTTATTCCTCCTTCCTCTCGGCGATTACAGGCGCCTTGTCAACTTGCTTGTCCTTCGCCATGGCGGCGAGCACCTGTTCACTGCACTCGACTCGCAGCTGCCCCTCCCACTCTGCCCGGCCGTCATTGTCAACCCATTGGTGCGAGTCTGCTCGCGAGGAAGCAGGTCTGCAGACGTGTGTGTGTGTGTGTGTGTGTGTGTGTTTCTGTCCAGCACAGTTTTCTGGAGAGGGGGGAAGGAAAAGGGAAGGGAAGGGAAGGGAACTCCCGAAGCACCAACCAGCGTCCTCAGCACGATGTTTCCAGCGTCTGGCAAGGACTGCAGGAGACACGCGGAGGTGGCAACGCACGGGCGCCCGCACGCGGATCCCAGAGCCCGGCCCGTGCCGCCAGGGACCGTGGTCGTTGGTTCCCCCGAGCCGCGCGGTAGACCCCGCCCTCCGCATGTCGGACACGCGTGCTGGGATTGTGATCCCGAGGGCCTTCCCACATGATGGCAGTCTCCCTGACCGACCCGGGACGGCAGAGAAGGCGCCAGGAGTGACGCGACGCGCTCTTCCCGCGCCTCCTCCATCCATCCCCGACCAACGCCGCGGTCCGAATGGGCCCCTGCTGGCCCCGCCGAAGACTCACGGAAACTTCCAGACCAATCCCGATCCTGACGAGCAGAAGAAGGCGGCCTCGTACAAGCTCCTCCGGGCGGACCCGGAGGAACCAGCCCGATTGCCAGCGAGATTACCTCGGACCCGTGACATGATCAACCTCGTGCCCAAAAAGAGATCGGCTGTATGACTGCTGGCTCGGGACGTGACAAAGGCCGCGACGCTCAGAGATCGGCTACACAACTGCTGGCTCAGGATGTGACACTAGCCGCGGCGCTCAGTGGTGAAGGAGCAGCCGAAAGAGGTTTCAACATCAAACGAGCCTCCATATCGACTCTGCGACACCGGAACGGCGACCGCGGACAGCAAGATTGTTGGTTTCCTTTTCGAGGGCCCGTCCATTGGGGCCACCTTTTGAGCCCACAGAGCTCCCCGATGGCCTGCCTGGGGAAACCCAGACTGAACCAAACTCGATGCACACGTGCAGCACACCCCGCGACCGCCAGTGAACTTCCCGAAAGGGCGGTCGCCAACTGCTCCCTGGGGGACCAGGGACCCCGCCCCGATCCAAGAGCAATGTCGTGCACCACGGGGGGACCCGCGGACCCCGGGTCAATCCAGACCCGGGTCGGTCGGGCTCTGCAGGATCCTGCAAGATCCTGCAGCAGCCTGCAGGATCCTCTAGGATCCTGCACCTGGCAAAAGTCCCGTGCGCGGCCGTTCTGTCTCCATCTTCTTCCCAGTTCACGTATTCCTCCTCCCTACGTCCTGCCACACGGGGGGCGTGGAGTCCCCGCGGCGCGCGCTGGCTGTCCCGGTGCAGCCCCGGCGACGCGCGCGGGTCGTCCGCGGCAGGTCGGCGCGCCCTGCTTGGACTCCCGTGGTCTTTCGCATGTGGATTAGTTGGTTGTAAACGTATACACACGGCTAACATACCGTTTGCAAGTTTCGCATAAGAGTGTGTATGTGGTGTATGTCTTGTGTAAATGTCCCACGTACACCCAAGTGCGTGCCATTCACATGTGCACTTTAGCTTCCCAGCGGATCCACAAAGCCACTTTCGTAAGCATGTAAGGCTAATCGCGTAGGTGGGTTAGGCCCGATAGGGCCGCGGATAACATGCGTTTGCCAACTTGAAAGCGTAGGGCTAGTAACACATTCGCGGAGGAGCCGTTAACCTACTTAGCGTCAGCTCGTTGGCCAAATTCTTATAGTCTTGGGCCACAGCCAGTATTTCAGATCGTGCGCCATTTATTTTTGAGTTCCTGCTCGTGAGGTTTGGGCCCCACGGAGTTTGAATACGATCGTTGTCTGGTTTCGTTTGTCCCGCGGCCTTTTCAGCCTTCTTGGTGATAGCTGCCATCGGGGAGCGCGTGTTGTCACTCACCCTGCGGCGCCATGGCGGGCGCGAGCGCCAGCCATCAAGAGCTGTTCGCGTGGATCAATAATGCGTGCACTTTGGCGCTCTTTGGGGACCCGCAGCACGCGAACTTCAAAGCCATTCAGGACCAGATGATTCAAAAACTTGAAGTTGCAGGCTTGTGTTACCGCGAGCAGAACAAACCGTTTCACGTCGGCGTGGAGCCGTCCAACAGGTACGGCATCAGCGTGGAAGCAGTCGATGTGCACGGCCTGATCAAGCACATCTCCACAGTTGGCTCCAGTTGGTCTGAGGCTTTGGGCGTAAACGAACAAAATTACCCTGCGACGTACCCAACCCGCGCGCATCAAATGGCAAGAGGACTATGCCAACATTAGCAGGAACAGCGACAGTGTAGACGCGGCGATTTGCTGTGCAAGCTACATGGGATGCGCGTGCGTTGCACGATGCACAGGACGACGATCGAAAAAACGAGGCTTGAGGCCCCAGGATCGAAGAAGAACGGGTACGGGAACGAGGGGTAGGAGAGGGATGGAATGGAGGGCGGGGGGGGCGAAAGGCCATCGCGGAAGCAGCAGCATGCATGGAGAAGGTGAGGCGGGGAATAGGACGACGATGAAAGTGGCGGGAGGAGACAGAAGACTGCCGCGTTTTTCAAGTGCGAGCTAAACCCGCAGCGCTGCCTGCGCCATGTCGTCGCAGAGTTCCACATGATAAAACTTGTTTAGAGTGCAAGGAACGAGCGAGGCGTAGCTCGCCCGCTAGCTTCTCCGCCTCCTTCCCGCACATTTCAGCGCGGGAGCTGAACGCTCGCAGGCGCGCCGCCAGGTCTGCGGGCGGCCCGCGGGAAAGAAACTCAAGGCCGGGGTCGCGTATCATCAATCGGTTGTCCATCGTCCAAAGTTGCACTGGCGACGTACTGGTTGAACGCGGAGCGAGCAGCATCACGCGCGTGCCTGAACGCCACGCAGGTACAGTGCACGCGCGATTGGGACTTCAGGTCGATCACGCGCGTCTCCACCAGGCTTGGCAACACCACGCGACTGAGGATCTCACTGCGGTCTGCCATGCTGCTGTCCGCGAATGCAATGCGCTGCCTGCAAGTAAGGCGGCGGCGTCCACTTGTCTCAGAAGATGTTCCCGCGGGCCCGAAGGGCGACCGCCAGCTCGAGCCGCGGCGCCGGCAGGCCAGATAAGGATCATGCAACAGCAAAGACGATGACAGAGCAACGAGGTATCGGCGAGTGCATGACCGGCCTCCGTTTCCTGCACTTCTTTCCTGTAGTTCCCCTAGCTCATCGAGCTCAGCAGATGTTTCTGCGGGTCCGAAGGACGACCGCCAGCTCGAGTCGCAGCGCCACGTGGCACGAACCGCAGAGCAAGGGCACGCGAGCATTGCTCGTGGTCAGAATCTGAGTCCCCGTGGTGCCTCACTCCGCTGGCCACCCACCAGCAGCCCTCGAAAGTGGCGACAGTTTCACAGATCGCAGCCGCCCAGGGGTGGCGAGGTCTAATCTGAGTCCCCGTGGTGCCTCACTCCGCTGGACCCACCAGCAGCCTCGAAAGTGGCGACAGTTTCACACAGGGATGGCGAGGTCTAATCTGAGTCCCCGTGGTGCCTCACTCCGCTGGACCCACCAGCAACCCTCGAAAGTGGCGACAGTTTCACAGATCGCAGCCCCCCAGAGATGGCGAGGTCTAATCTGAGTCCCCGTGGTGCCTCACTCCGCTGGCCCCACCAGCAGCCCTCGAAAGTGGCGACAGTTTCACAGATCGCAGCCCCCCAGAGATGGCGAGGTCTAATCAGAGTCCCCGTGGTGCCTCACTCCGCTGGACCCACCAGCGGCCCTCGAAAGTGGTGACAGTTTCACAGATCGCAGCCCCCCCCCAGAGATGGCGAGGTCTAATCTGAGTCCCCGTGGTGCCTCGGGGGGGGAGGAGGGGGCCGGCCGATAAGATAACCTTCGCTCTGTGGGCAGCCCTGCATATGCCCGCATCCCCCCCCCACACCGGACCTGCACAACCGGCAAGGTTAGGTTATCCTGGGGGGGGGAGCCCGATAACTCGGGTTATCGCAGGACCCTAACAAAAATAATCTCTCATGTTTCATCTTCGGTGGGCCGCGCCTGTCCCGCCGCGCCGCCATCCGCGTCGAACCCAGACCGGAAGGGTCGACTCCCGACTCCACGCCTCGAACGCGCCAACCACGCGTGGAAGCTTGGAAAAGATCGCAATGCACAGGACAGACGAGGTTGAAGGGGACCTGGGACACACAAATAAATACACACAAATAAAATGATTCCCCATATTTTCCCATATTTTGCCTTCCCTCCCACTTCCCATATTTTCCTAGATTTTCCTGGGAATCGACGATTAATTGTGTCTGCGTGTTTCTTCCCCTCCTGAGAGGTCACCCGAAGATGCAACGGAAGCACTCTCTCTCCCCGCCCCGCCCCCGAGGGTGGGGGAATCGCCCCCAGGTCCACCGCGTGGTAATGCTCGACATTGCGCTCAAGCGGCGCCCGCTATCACGCCGAGGGCCCTCTCCGCCGGGGCGGGAGCGAGACCGTGCAGCACTGTGCAGCGAGCGGTCGGCTACCGAAGGTTTTATAGTGCGCGCTCTTCACGTTGTCGCGTTTGCGCGCGCGGCGAATATCGATCCGGGGGGGGCGGGGACCTCGGGCAACGACGGACCGCGGCCCCCCGCCCCCCGCGACTGGCCTCGGGCCCCCTGCGAGAAGGGCGCGACGAAAGTTTAGTTCCCGCAGCGGAAGAAGTTTAGACAGTCCCGATCCAGGAAGTCCACACAAAGAACTTCCCCGACGGGAGTCTCGAGCGGGAGCGTCCCCCAAAGCTTGACCAGAACATCTTGCTCACAGAACTGAGCCCACGCAAAAAAACTAGATATTGGACCAGGCATACCTCTGGGAGACCGCCCCCGATTCAGCTTTTTTCCTGCGGTGCGGCGGCAGTGCCGCTGGGGGGGGCGTCCGCTCGGTTGTGACTGGATCTCCAGGACCTGGAGGGCCCGCTTTCGGAGGCCCAACCCTGTGGGCGCCAACGGAGACCTCTGGACCAGGGCCCGCAAAGCCTTCCAGGCCAGGAGAAATCCAGATGTGGAAGTTGTTTGGTTCCCCTCCCACCAAGAGGAGGCCCCAGAGAAATTAGACACGTGCGAGAAACTCTTTTATGCCTCTGGTAACGCCTGTGCTGATTCGTGGGCGGGGGAGGCGGCGGAGTTGGCGTGGAGGGTTTTGGTGGGGCGGGAGCCTGAGACGGACAAAATAGATGCCACAGCTTCGCTGATTCGTCGAAGGGCCAGACGAGCCCTGGTGTGTGCAGCGGAGGC